CTCTGGGTCTGTACATGACGTCGTTTAGGAGGATGAAAAGGGGGTCTTATTGAAACTTCGAGAATACTGCGAGGCCAGGATAGGGTGGATGTGAGAAAATGTTTCCACTCGTAGGAGAGACTAACACCGGAAAGCACAGTCTCAGAGTGAAGGGAACAACCCTTTAGAACTAAGAAGAGGAAGAATTTCTTTAGCTGGAGGGTGAAGACAATGGAAGCCAAGTCAGTGAGTGTATTTAAGACAGAGATAGTTAGGTTCTTGATTAGTAAGGGGACCAAGGTTTATGGGGAGAAGGCAGGACAATGGAATTGAGAAACATATCAGCCATGATTGAACGGCAGAGTGGACTCAATGGGCCAAATGGCCTAATTCTGCTCCTGTAAGTTATGGTTTAAAACAACATCACACTGCTGCCAACTATCTAATCATTATCATCATGTTTTTTTTAAGGAGCTTTCTATGTGCATGTGTACTGCTTCATATCCTAAACCACAATAGTAATTAATCATCAAAAATACTAAATTGATTGCAAAACACTTTGTTGTGGTGTCCTGAGGCTGGTAAAGATACATATAATTGCAAGTCTATCTTTCAGAGTTGGCAACATCTGTGAAGAAAAAAATCAGAGTTAACGTACAGTGACCCTTCCTCAGAACTGATGTTGCCAGACCCTGCTGTTCTAGCAACTTCTGTTTTTGTTCCTGATTTACAGCATCCGCAGTTCTTTCGGTTTTTATCTTTTAGGCTTTTCTACTTATCTCCAACACTGTTCCCACAAAGTAGTCTTCAGCAGTTACATAATCATCACCAATATGTGGAAGTTTTAAAACTGTGATGCCACCACATAAACAACGTAAGGCTGTTTGTTGCAAAGAGCACAAAAAAGGAAGCATCAGAATTAGACTGGAGATAGTAAGAACTGCCAATGCTGGAGTCTGAGATAACACAGTGTGGAGCTGGAGGAACACAGCAGGTCAGGCAGCATCAGAGGAGCAGGAAAGCTGACGTTTCAGGTCGGGACCCTTCTTCAGAAATGGGGGAGGGGAAAGGGGGCTCTGAAGTAAATGGGAGGGGCGCTGATAGCAGGTAGATAGTGGAGCAGATAGCTGGGAGAGAAGACGGACAGATCAAGAAGGCGGGGATGTAGCTAGTAAGAGTGAGTGTAGCTAGGTGGTGGGGATTGGTCAGTGAGATGAGAGGAACGGATAGATGGGAGAGAAGACAGAAAGGTCAATGAGGCGGGGATGAGAAGTGGGGCTGGTCTTGGGATGAGGTCGGGGGTGGGGAGATTTTGAAGCTCGTAAAGTCCACATTGAGACCATTGGGTTGTAGGCTTCCAAGGCAGAAAATGAGGTGCTGTTCCTTCAGTTTCCGGGTGACATCGTTGTGATGCTGGAGGAGGCCCAGGATGGACATGTCGTCCAGGGAGTGGGAGGGGGAGTTGAAGTGGTTC